AAATGTTTTTAAATTATTCCCTTAAATTTTTTTTTAAAGTTAAATAAAATTTAAGAAACGAAAATCCTTCGGTTTCGGGACAAACCCCTACCGCCCGCCATGAAAGCTGGAATGCCCACTAGTGGGCGGTAGGGACCAGGTTGACTACCACTGGTTTACAACATTGCCACAAAATATGGAAATGATCCAACCTGCTAATAACACTTCCAACAATATGCAGAGAATGAACTATTTTAGCAATTAACAATGGAATAATATACTAATGATAAAACCACCTATATTAGCTTTTTCTAAGCACAAAACCCAATGTGAATTTAATGTTTTTCCCACTGAAATTCCCACTGTTACGTATCAATTTTTCTACCTAAATTCTTCACATTTTAATTTTTACTTAGTTCGATTTCACCAACAATTTATAAATGAGGCTCAGCAAATGCTCTGAATTTTGTGCTATAAGTTTTTAAATTTACCAAGACTCTTTCTAGGGTAGTTCTTTTAAAATAGCAGGGTTTATTTGAAGATACTGAACACAGGTCAGATGATTTTAATCATTACAAGAAGAAAGCCTCAAAATATTTTATTTTTGTCTTATTAATAGTCAACTCTTGCATTCTGTATAATAGTGGCTTTTAGTTTAAAAAATAGTGGTCAAGCAGTTTAAGAAGCATTGCTCTCTGATTAACCCAGCAACTCACAAATTCTGGGTTGCAAGAACTGGAGGCAACCAGGTCTTTCCAATGAGCAAACTTCTTTGTGCTTTCCTCTTCATGAAAATAAAAATTCATAATGAAGCAAGAAAATATGTCTGGACCGACTCTTTCCCTGTATTTATTCCAAATTGGTAATACTCTGATAATTATTGCATCATATTTTATAATACTCTGATAATTATTGCATTAAGTTTTATTTTAAAAATTCTGTTAGTATACATCCAAAAATATTTTTGAAGGTAGCCCTCCATTTACCACCAGAATTGAGCCCGGTTGCTAAGTAAAACATTTGTTAAGTGAGTTCTGCCCCATTTTACAACCTTTCTGGCCACAGTTGTTAAACGAATCACTACAGTTGTTAAGTTTGTAACACAGTCGTTGAATTAATCTGGTTTCCTTGATGACTTTGCTTGTCAGGAGGTTGCAAAAGGTGATCGCATGAGACCAGGACAATGCAACTATCATAAATACGAGTCAGTTGCCAAATGTCTGAATTATGGTCATGTGACCATGGGGATGCTGCAACAGTCGTAAGTGTGAAAAACAAGTCACTTTTTTAATGCCATTACAACTTTGAATGGTCACTAAACAAACTGTTTTAAATCAAGGACTACCTGTATCGTCCATCTGGGAGACTTGCTCCCTCAAGGGAGGTCATCCAATTATGGGTAATATAAACAAAGTTAAATAGCTACTTCGATAATACACAGAATTCAGCATTGTTAACAATGAATAACAGTTCTCCAAGGTTATAAGGTTTCATCAATTTATAGGTTAGAATAATAAATCAGCCATTAAACATTTAAACTGGGAGAGAATACAAGATCTGTATGAACAACAGAAGTGTTCTCATCCTATAGGTTGCTGCGAGCGTCATGTGGGCGCTACATTGCCGTGAGTGCTGCGCTATTGTTGCCACCCCATTTGCATTGTGCGTGCTCACGGCCCCGTTCGCACATGTGTATGTAAAGGTCCCTGGCCCTCCCCCCAGACCGCCAACCCAGAAAGGTTGGGAAATTCTGTCACAGACAAAAGGACACATGAAGATGTAACAGAAAGTATAATTTGTATTTAGGGTTGATAAACATTTCCAATTCCTTTATTATCTTTCTGACCTGTACTTCCTTTCATTGTTTGTCAATCTGTATAACTATTAAAGCTATAAGTTTCCCCTGTTCACTTTTGTCTGACTCTTGGTAGTGGTACTCATCCCCATTTCTTAACTGAGAAAGCTAGCATTGTCCGAAGGCATTTCCATGGTCATGTGTCCAACATGTCTAGATGCTGAGGCACATGGAATGCTGTTACCTTCCCACTGAAGCGGTACCTATTTATCTACTTGCATTTGCATTCAAAATGCTAGGTTAGCAGGAGTCGGGGCAAGTAACGGGAGCTCAGCCTGCCGTGCAATGCTCAGGTCTCAAACCCACTCACCATCTTTAACTACACAGCTATCACACACCCTATACAGATAACAGATTATCTATTCTTTCAAAGGGAGCAAGAACTTGAGTTATATTAATACCAAAATTAAATTTTCGTTTTCAAAAATGCACTAGTTTCAAATTACTACTTTTGTAGAATTCTGGTTTTTACAATGAAGCCAAAAATTACTTCTCTACAAAACTAGTAAATGTGGGCCGGTTGTGTCATGCATAGACCACGCCCACCTCAGCTCTACTAAGGGAAAAAAATGTCACGATACGTCACATGACGCCAACATGATGCAGCAACTTTGACACCCATGGTCTAGTGGATGATGCATCAGACTGGAAACCAGGAGACGATGAGTTCTAGTCTCAACCTTAGCCATAAAAAGAACAGCTGGGCAACTTTGAGCCAGTCACGCTCAAGAAAGAAGAAAGAAAAGTCTATGGCCTAATTTTATGTAAACCAGAGAGTATTTGTTTTATTTAACTGTGACTTATTGAAGAACCTAAATGTAGCATCAAACCACACCAAAACATATAGTTGCCACAACAGAGCAAAATAGAATACCCATTTCCCAGGAGTAATTATCATGTTTACCTAATAGGTAGACTGTTTTTCTACACAACTATCTAGGATTCTGGGCTAAGTACACAAAAGAATGGCTAGAAGTTCAAATCATTGAAATAAACATTGCAGTAAAAAGGCAAATGGCCTTGATGATTAGCTTAAAGATTAGCCTAAACTTTAATTTGGGGTTGTCTTAAATTTTGGACCATCTTCCTTAGAGGCACATAATAATACAGGTTGTCCTTGACTTACAAAGGTTCACTTAGTGACTATTCAAAGTTACAATAATGGCACTGGAAAATGTGACTTCTGGCTGTTTTCAATGGTTATGACCCTTGTAGCATGCCCATGATAATGTGGTCAAAATCCAGATGCTTGGCAACGGGTTCATATTTATGACCGTTGCTGTGTCCCAAGGTCAAGTGATCCCCTTTTGTAATCTTCTGACAAGCAAGGTCAATGGGGAAATCAGGTTCACTTAACAACTTATCAGCTGCAGTGATTCACAATAACTGTGGCAAGAAAGGTCGCAGAATGGGGCAAAACTCACTCAACAAATGTCTCACTTAACCACAGAAATGTTGAGCTCAATTGTGCTCGAAAGGTGAGGACTACCTGTAGTAATTCTCTGAAAACTACACAAATGCTAAACATAAAAATCTACATAAAATCTGTCTCTTTTTTAAAAAAACAGCATAAACAGCCTGCTTCTTATAGAAAAAAACATATACAGGGCGGGGCATAACCTTTTCCTAGGGGGTCACAGCAAGACTTGTAATAACAACACAAATAATTCATACACCATTCGAAAGCCCATCA